AGGCAAGTAAAATAATTTAAGGCCAAGCATACAAAATTAATGAGGCCATTAAATCCTGGAGACGCTAAAGAGACACACACTCACACGCAGAACAAGAGTCCTCCCTGTGAGTGTATGAGTGTGTGTGTGTGTGCTTGACAGTCAAAGGACAACTCTTTGTTGAGTCTCTGTTTATGACTCTCGGTGTAGGTGTGTGCGTGTGTGTCGCCTCTTTGGCGTGTGTGTGCCTCATTTATACACTATGCAAAGCTGAATTTGTTAGCAGGGCATGTTTTCTTTTCCCTTCAGCAGCACTTTTTGTCATCCAGTTGCCGCAAAATTTAAGTTTGATTAACAAAAAGAAAAGAGAATTATTTAAGTTTATAATATTTACATTACAAGTTATTATTCTAGCTAAAATATATTAAAAAACATTTAAATTTATATTTATTTGTGGAAAACTTAAAATAAAAACTTTGTAACATATTTTAAAAGCATTTTTAAGATGAATTCGAATTTATTAATTATTTAATATTATTACAAAAATAGTTAAACATGTACAAAAATTAGTTTATAATATATATTCTTATACCAATACTTACTGCGTTTAAGTAAAACCTTTTTTTATAATTTTTTTCCCTTTAAATTTTTATTTAAAAACTTTCAACTGGTAAGGCCACTTAATTTACTGCCAACAGCTTTCCTGAGCTGAGTTACCCGGAGAGTTTCCTGCTCGTTGGCTCCTTATTTAACTTGTGGCCGCTTTTGGTCGTTCGGCCCTAACTCACACACACACACACACACACACACGGGCCAAAAGGAAGACAAAATGGTACAAAAATATCGCTCAGCATTATGCTCGTGCACCTTCAAGCAGCTGTCTCTTTGTTGCTCCTGCTCACATCCATCAGCGGTTGCCAATTGTCCTTCAGTCCTGCAGAGTCCCCGAGGCCTACACTTCTTTTCCTGTACCAGGATCAGACCCAAGCTGGCCGGGTTTGGATGGCTTGGCTTAGTAGCACGGCCAGAAGCCCCTCGATTGAATGATGTTTTCTGGGTTCCCCCAAAAATAAACTGCCGTTTTCAACAATATTTACGGCCCGTTGTCTGTTAGCTTAGGCATACGCACACTCTCGTATGAGTGAGAGCGAGTGTTTTGTATTTGCCTGCGTGTGTGCGGTTTACCTTTCGTCTTCGTGGCGCGTTTTTTTTTGTTCGCTTATAAATTTCGCATGGCTGGCGAGGATGGGGGTGGTATAAATACTACGCTACACTTTAAAGATTAAAGTCAAGATTTTTTCAAGTAAAAAAAATGTACAAAAATATATTGAATTGGTAAGTACAGATCCTGATCCTTCCTTGAAATTAAATATAAAAATATTATAAAAATTGTTTGAAGGATTTATAACTTGATTTCTAAATTTAGTTCCCCTATAAAACATTATTTTAGTGATTTAAAATTATATTTTCATTTATGAAATATATAAATTCATAGTTTTTCTCATGGTGCAGAGGCATATGTTGGCCAAAGTCGTTAAAACGCCCCCGAGAAGGCCGCAACGTATGCAACATAAAAGTGCGACGAGCACCTGACGATGCCGCCATAGCCATGGCAGAGGCTTCATTAGAGATCACCTCGGCAGCAGCGGGACGGGTAGAATTAGCGCGGTCTGAGGAGCAGGCCACGTTTTGCATTTTTGGTTATTTGCACAGGCGGCACAACGGCACGTATACGTAATAAAGTTGAACAAATAAAATTCACTTTTTTTTTTTTTGTTTTTGGGTTCTTTCGGCGCAGAAAAGTTCTAATTTTTTCCATACCACGACTACCGTTCCCGCTCTGGCACTCCGCTGTTGGTCTGTGTTTTGTTTGGCTTTTGTTGGGCTTCAGTTGCAACCTAAATTTCATTTGAGGCACAAAACTTGTTTAGTTGGCAAACTTTGCGCGTCGTCAATAAGGCTTGCTGCCGTGGCTAAGGAGGGGCTGTTGGTGAGGTTGAGCCCAGACAGTTTGGCATAGCCGCCGCACGCCATGATATAATCTGGTGCTGGGCCGCTGTATTTATTACGCGCTGCCTAACAACTCCCACCCATTCGGGTCTAAACACACACATACACACCCAAATCGGAGGCACCGTTGCCGCCCAAAATAGACACACGGATCGGGGCAGAAGGCCACCGGGTCGCTGGGTGCATATTGATGGAGTCTTGGGGTTACCCCACAAAAAAGGCATCTCCAATTTGCCATGAAAAATGTCTGACCAAGTATAGTTCTTTCTCAGCAAGTTCAAAGATTAAGGGCTGTAGGAAAATTGCCTAGGGTAAATATGCAAAAAGAAAATATTCAAGTTGCAGAGAAAACACAAATATAGAGAAATAAATATGTAAAATTTGACATAAAAATAAATAAAATAAGTAATGCAAGGAAAAGTAAAATAAGGAAATATATTAAAGAAGTAAGCCAAAAACTCTTAAGGTTTATTTCGAACCATACATTTCATTTCCAGTTAAGATATGTTTGGCTTGGGTAAATAAAGGCAAAAACTATTAAATGGACTAAGGATAAATATGCCAAAAACTTTTTAAAGGTTTAGGTATAAATACATGGCCTGTTCAAAACAAATGAAATTTTTATCATGTTATATGCTCAAGAGTATAAAATACTTTATTTTATTGAAACTTAGTTCATTTCAAAGCGGCCTAAATTTTTTCAAGTGCATCCATATTAGTTTTGTGGGTAATCTGCTTAGGGTATTCCATATTCTGCATTCATGGGCATCATTTTGGCCTCAACCGATTAGCCATATCGATTCCAGCCACACTTTCCGCTTACCTCTGTGTGGGAGGTGAGCTCAGGGGCTGGGAATTGGAGGTTTTGGTGGCTTGGAGGTTGGTGTTTGGGGGTTCAGGTTGAAATGCATAATTGGCGATTAGACGATTGGCCCTAATATGCCAGAGCTTTGCAGCGAATAACAGGCGGAGTGCAACGGCAGCGGCAGCGGCAGCAGCAGTGACAGCAACAGCAGAACCGGAGGCTTTTGGCTTTAGCCCCAGCTTCGGACGGCCAACTAATTGGGTCATGTCATCCCCAGGAAGCCCCCGAAATCTGGTACCTACCTTTGGTGTCGCTGCGGTGGAACCTTGTGCCTTGTGGGGGCATCAACAGAACAGGAGAAGAACAAAAAAGTAATGACAATGGTTTATGCTTTTCGTTTATATATATATAGATATATATAATGTTATATATATTTCCTTTTTGCTTTGTTGTTCATTCAGTTGCTTTCATGCATTCAATGCTCGCCTTTGTCTGCGGGCTCCTTTCTCCTTGTTAGCTATGCCGCTCTGTTGATAAGTGTACACATCTATAGACTATATATATTATACTATACGTAGGTATATATATATATATATTATACAATACATAATACATAAGTTCAACTTAAATGCTACGGTTTTTCTTGCTTGCTCTTTTACGTCTCGTTTAAGATTACTTTTCCGATGTGTGTGTGTGAGTGTGTTTGTGTGTTCTGTTTGCTGCGAGTCCTTTGAAGAAGGAAGTCCTGCGCTCATTTAGATGCAAAGAAAAAAGTCTTTGGTTTACCTTAAAAATATTATTTTGTGTCTGTTTCTTTTTCATCTTTCGCTTGCTTGTTGTTCTGTCTGCTTAAATCTTAAGTCTTAGCACATACGGGCAATTAATATCTTGCGGATACGTTTTAAATCTTTACGGGGGACAAAAACTGGCATACTGACATACATATCTACATGTAAATGGTGTGTGTGTGTGTGATGTGTCTGTGTGTGCACTTTGAGTACAATTTACATATGTTTATTTACGTATGCATTTGATGAATATTTTCCACTCTTTACTTTTGAATTCTCTTCGATTTGTTTTGCTGATTTTATTTGGTTAAAATTTTTTGTGTAGCTTTGCTCTTACTTTTAGGGAAATGTACATTGTTGATTTAATTTTTATAAGCTTCTATCATTTTTGCGTGGAAAGCTGTAAATCAGTTTTTGGGCAACAAGAAAAATGGTCAAATTTAATTACGAGAGTATTTTTGTCTGATCAAATTGGGTCAACATCTTTTCTTTATTTTTGTAGTATCAATTTCAATTAACTTGGTTGAGAAAGAAGGTTGTCAAGCTGTCGAGTTGTAAATAGATTGGGTTTTAAGGGGAGTGAAGAAAATAGTAGAATGAAAAATCCATGCTTATTGGGAAATACTTTTATAAGAATATTTAAAAAAATCGATTCAGATAATTGTTTAACGAAATTACGTATTAAAAAATCGTTTAAAAATATAGATTAGGCAAGAATTATTTTCGAAATTTAATAATGGTTTAAGGATCAAGTTCTGATTAACTAAAATCAGGAACTAGAAAATGTACTGTTGAAGAATATATATTTCCGGATGAGAATATTTTAAAAGTTTACATTTAAGCTCAAATAATTTTTATAAATATTTAAGCTAAAAATGAGCCAAGAGGAAGTAAGTTAAATATGGACCATAAAAGATATATAAATTATAAAAAATAAATAATTCAAGCTTTTTCTGATTTACTGCTAACCCTTTGTGAGACCTGCTTAAGTTTTTCGCATTATTTCACAGCTTCTAATATGGGGAACATGGGAAGATTTCAACAATAGTCGGATCCAGAATTGGCTTTCTTTTCTTTTTGCTACGGGAAATAGCTAATATATACACACACAGTTACAATGATTTATGTTAGTTCTTATGCAGTTTTTTACCATTTACCATTTACCGTACTGTATACATATATATCTATATATACGAATAAGTATTTTACAAATGTTGAGACACCATTTTTGGATTTATTCAGTTCTGATTTACGATTACAACTCTTGGAGGGGAAAATGGGGGTTGTGGGCTTGGCTTGGGTTCCTTTTTAACACTTTTTCTTATTGAAAATTACACCACGTATACACACACACATATACACATACATATGCATATACATATATATTTCATAGATTTAGTTACATTTTTCCTTTCTCAAATTTATTGGGTTATTTTTTGTTTTTTGTAATTTTATGGGGACTTGAGGCTCGTTTTTGTTTTGTTTTTTTGTTTATAAAGAAAATGTACTGTACATATCTTAGTCTTAGGCTTTACGTTTACAATTTAGTTTTAGTTGTAGTTTAATTTTAATTTAGTTTAGCTTTAGTTTAGTTCAGTTTAGTTTAGTTGAGTTACTTGCCAAGAAGAGAGTATACTTTAGTGTTAGTGCAGTTGATTTCGCTTTAGCTTTTCTCTTTTGCTTTGGGCAATTATTATCTTCATTCGCATTATCTTTTTTGTCAGACACTATCACAAACAGTTCGCTTGCACAATATAATAATAATCGCTGCTCGCCTAGGACCTCTGCGCTATCTATTATGAATGTTTTTATATACCTAAACGGAGGAGCAGCTGCCTCCACCACCTCCCTCTCGCTGTGTTAAGTTTAGTCAGTTCTTGGTTTGGTTTCCTTTCCGGCTAGCCGTCTCCGCCGCTTACACGTCCGTTCCGCATCCCTCCTGGTAGCCCTCGTCCGGCGAGTTGCGACTGCTGCTGATAAGGGCCCGTTTCAGGGCCGTCACCGGTGGCAAGACGGGCACGCCGCCCTTCTGCCACACGCGTATCGTCTTGGCATTGATGGGCTGACCGTTGGGCAGGATCGAGCAGGAACTGGATGAGCTGGGATTCGCCTGGGCGGGCGTTGGCGAGGAGCGGGACGAGGAGCTGCCGCCGCCGGCGTCGTGCAGTCGTGGCAGGGTGCGACTGCTGAAGTGCGGACTGCTGCCAGTGGAGCTGCCCTCCTGCTTCTGATGGTTCAGCGTGGAGGTGAGCTGCGCCTGGAGCTGCTGCAGCGGATGCATCTGCAGCTGGTGGTTGTGCTGGTGCTCCGCTCCCGGCACCAAGGGCAGGCCATAGTCGTTGGGATAACCGCCTCCGCCAACGCCAACTCCCGCCGAGGAGCCACCCGAAAGATTTGTGGTCACCGTCGAGGCAGTGGAACCAGTGCCTCCGCCTCCACCTCCCGCCGATGTTAATGCCTGCTGCTGGAGGTGCGACCTGGGAAATGTCTTGCTAAAGTAATCCGTGGCTGCCGTGCGCTCGTGTAAATCATAAAGCTGCGTGGAGGAGCTGTCGATGATGGGTGTCTTGTCCGTGTAGCGTTTCATGAACAGATCATCCGCCGAGGTGGCGCCCACGGATGCATTGTGCTCCCAGAGACCGGAGGGATACAGAGAGTCACAGCCATTGGCGCGGCTATACTCCCCACTGCCCCCCACTCCGCCACTGATGGGTGGAATCTTCAGATCCGCAAACTCATCGCTGCCGAAGCGCTGGGTGTCGTTGATAAGGTCAGGATTGTTACCACCATTTCCCGCTGATCCAGTGGGTGAGATAAAACAGGTGGCCGTGGACAGGACACTGCCATTGTTATCATATCCCTGATTGGCGTATGGAAGATCCGTTAGCCTCGGTGGTTTCTGTACGGGATTCGTGCTGCGTGGGTCATGTGCCACATGGGATCCTCCCCTGCCTCCGCTGCTGGTCTTCCGCTCCAGAGTTCCGGCCTGAACCACACTGCCATCGATTATGTTGGCCACAGCTCCGTTGGCTATGACCACGCCACCGATGCTCCCATTCCCCGTTGCCGGCTGCGTCTTGTTCGTTATGGAATTCTGATGATTGACCGATGTTATCACCTCCATGTGATTGGGGGTCTTGCTGTCCACATACGGCTGCCGTTTGACCCTCAGCAGGAGGCACATAATCACCCCCAGGGCGAAGACAATCAGGGCCACCAGGGCGGCACTCAAGCCCACAATCTGGCCACTTCCCAGCGAAGCCATTCCAGCGGCTCTCATGCTCACATGCAGCGTGAAGTTGGCCTCGGCCATGCCAGCGCGATTCTCGGCTACGCAATAGAACTCACTGGAATCCGTCTCCTGGGCATTGGTCAGCACCAGTTTCGATCGCTTCTCGAATCCGCCTTCGACCTTCTCGAACATGTGTATCCTCTGGTACGCAGTGAAGGCGGAATTATTCGACAAGAGTCGCCCATTCCAATACCAATTGATATTCGCCACAGGGATCGAGCGTGCGCGGCAGGTGATCGAGGCATTCTCACCCATAGCGGTCTCCACATAATGGGAAATTGGCAGCATTTCCGGTCGACAGGCAAACTCATCCACATGCAGATCGGCAAAGGTGCGATCGATGATCCTTTCGGGGCCGCCGGAGCAAACGGGCGCCACCGGATATGGAATATTGCGCTGCATCAGCCACAGTTTCGTGTCTCTCAAGCGGCAGTCGCAGAGCCAGGGATTATCGTGCAGCTCGATGCCATGCAGACGACTCAGTGTCTCGATTGTCTTGGGCAGCAGCTCGCTCAACTTATTCCCATTCAATCGGAGCAGAGTTAGACCCTGGAGGCCACCGAATGCCTGGGCGGAAATGGTTTGAATATCGCAATGTGACAGATCCAATTTGTGCAGCGACGGTGTATTTCCAAAGGCCTGGCTCTCGATTTTGTGTATGTGATTGGAGGCCAGGGTGAGCTCCCTCAGGGACGAGATAAAGCCCAAGGCCAGACTGGGCACGGTCACCAGGAGATTGTGGGAGAGATCCAGCTCCACCAGGTTCGTGAGACCCTTGAAGGTCTCCCGCTCGATCTCACCGATCTTGCAGTTGCGCAGATACAGCTTCTGCAGGTTGAGGAGATTGGCGCGGATGAACTGCTCGTTGGACAGGGTCTGCAGCTTATTTCCGGACATGTCCAGCACCTGGGTATTGGGATCGATGTGCTCTGGAATCTGGATTAGCTGACGATCGATGCATTCCACTGTCTGCTTGCCGCCCTTCCACTTGCAGGCGCACACCGTCTGACAGGTGCTCAGCTGCTGGGCAGGTGGATCCAGATCGGAGCCCATGGAATGGTGGACAGGTGGTGGGTAGTGGTGCTGGTTGTAGCCATCCTCCGTCATTGGCTGGCTGTCCGCCACGGAGTACACCTCGTTCTGGGACGACTGCGAGGATCGACTTGAAGATGTTGAGGAACTACCAGCTCCGGCTCCTCCTCCTCCCGCTACTCCATTGGCGTAAAGATGCAGCTGATGATGGTAGCGATTGCCCAGAATAACTTCAGGCAGCAGCAGGCTGAGTACCAGGATTGCAAGTCCCCTGATCTGCATTTTCCTGGCTTTTCCTTCGATTCTTCTAGTTTGCGGTTGAGCTTTCTAGGCTGGAGCCCAGCGTGGTTTGGTTTTGACTAACGATATCATATAGTTTAAGTTCTTTTTCCCTTGTGATATGGTAAGTTTTATGGTTTTCACAGGTTGTCATTGGTTAATTTATTATAATTATAATTTAATTGAGTCTTTTTGTGATATGAAAACTTGATTAATTTCTGTTTTATTTATTTTATAAAGTAACTTTAATGTTTAATAAGCTTTCAGCTTGGTTTTGTTACTTTTTTTGATGTGTCTTGTGTTTATTTGTTAATATATTGAACATTTTTTGGTTCCTTGTCTTTGCTTTATTTATATTCTTTTTGCTTGATTTAAGGATATGCTTTCGTTTATTCTTACTTTCTTTCGGTTTTGTATCCTTGGTTTTTTTTGTAATTATGATATGGAAACTTTTGCTTATGGGTCAAGCGGAAAATTGATTAATTGCCGCCTTGGCCTCACTTGTTGTTGTTGTTTTTGTTGTCGGTGTTGCGGTTTTGGCCAAGATTTTCATGTTTCGCCGTAATTAGCCAATGTTATTTATAGGGCTAGCCTATAAAAACAAACACACACTCCGCACACACAACACTTACACACATACACACACTCGACACACACTCACTCACACCCGCCTGGATGATAATCGTTTTTATTTTTTTCGTATTTTTGCTTTTTTCTATTATTATTTTGCTACGCAACTTTTGCCAGCACAATTTTCCTCCGCTTTTCTTTCTTTCACGTGCTGTATTCTTTAGATGTGTGCATGTGTGTGTATTTCATTTATTTTTTTCTAGCTTCTGTATATATTTTCTTTTTTCTGGTTTTTTGTTAGCGCATTTTGCCACGCAAAGCTTTAATTCGCATCGCGTTTTTTCGTCGTTTTCGGTTTCGGTTTAGGTTTCGTTTTCGTTTTCGTTCGGTCCAAACTCAGATGATACGCAACCGAAGGGTCAGTTCCAAGGGGGTTGAATTTGTGACTGGGCCTCGGGGCTGTGATTGCGAGTTGTGATTTTCGGGCACGTGTCACTCTACTTTTCTTTCACTGCACTGCAAACCACAGTGGATCCTGCGAACGGGACTCTTTATGCATCAGCATCAGCCAAAGCCATAGCACACACACTCGCGCGCACACACACACAAAGCAACGAAGACGACGACCAGGACGACGGAAGCGAGAACGACGCAACCGCTCGGCAGCTTCGACTTGAACTGACTCGATTGAACTTGATTCTGAGCTTCAGCAGTCGCTTTTCTCATTCGGCTAGAGCCGAAGGCACTTCGGCCACTCGGCTGGCCGTTCGTATTCAGCGAGAGAAGCGACATAAAGCCATAGAAAGTGCCATAGAGAGCGGAGCTTGGACATGTTGCTGTAGCCGCTTCGCAACTCTGCAACATGTTCGCAACATGCAACATGTGGCAAAGGGAAGTAAAAAGGATTAAAAGTACGAGGATGAATAAAAAAGGAAATTACGCACGCCTCCGTTGTAAAGATTGTGAATTATCCTGGCGCCAAATAAATAAAAGGATTTATGCGTTAAAAATAAACTGAAACGGATGCGTGGGTCGATTACCTGACATCATTAAAATCATTATAATTGAAGAAAAGTACATTTTTCTTTGTGATTTTCCCGGAGAAAATTGACTAAAGGAAGACAATTAGCCAAAATGAAAGCAAGAAATAGGCCTAATATAAACCGAAATACATTTGGTAAGAACATTATTTTGTTGCTGGCTTTTAGTTTTCAACCTATCATACAAAACAAAAAACAACTTAATTAATTAAAATACTTTCTCACAGCTTTCAAATGTTTTCTAAAAAATATGTTAACTCAATTGTTAACATATTTAAAACATTTTCGAATTCCTGGAAATCTGGCAAACCCTATAATGTTTTTTTTTGTCTCTCCTCCTAGGTACATCTTAACTTTCCGACTAATTAACTTCGTTTGCCCAAGTTTAAGTTATACTAGGTAGAAAAAAGTCTTGTTTACAGCTTTCGAGTGTACTTGGGATACTTCCAACCACTCGCTCTCCCATTCTTAATTCTTTATTCCCACTGCCTACAGTCAATCAGCGATCAACCTACTCAGGCATGAAACACCAACAGAAACAGCCAAAAAAAAAAAAAAAAAGAAAATATATAGTATATATAAAAAAGGCAACGAAAAAATCCGGCATAAAGAAGTAACAACAAAAAGAATTGCTTAGCTTGCAGCCGGCACAGACGAATAAGTAGCTGGAAAAAAAAGAAGGAAAGATAGCTCGGCTTCGCTTCGCTTTGCTTTTGCTTTGCTTTTGCTTCGAGTGCGGCGCAATTTCAGTCTTGACCGAATGAGTCACATCCGCCAGATACGAGAGATACAGTGGTCATTCGATAAAGGGGAAACCAAGGAAATTGGAGCTTGAAAAAATAAGTTATCCAAAGTAAGCTTAATCTGCGAGAGCTAGTAATCGATAGAACTTTGTACATCTAAGTGACTTTCGCATAGGATATTTATCGATAAAACTAATAGTAAATTAGTTTAATGTTCTTTTATAGGTCTGTTTTAGTTTTAACACAATAAAAGCAGCTTTACTTATATTTATTGTCTCATATCTTGTGAAAAAACTATATAAAATTATAATAAAAAATATGATATTCATTGATAAGTTAATTTAAATTATTTTACCTTTCGACAGTTTAATATTTCTGGTTATTTAAATTAAAATTTATCCACATTCATACTTACAGTAGTAATTAATCTACAATTTAATAAAAATGTTTATTAAAATTATTCATAGGCAGTGCTTACTGTCTTTGACTCAATGGGTGAGTCCAATCCACTGAATGAATTCCCTGCACGGTGTTCAGCAAATTTCACAATTTGATGATTTTATGGCCAAGTCGTTCGTTCATTCAAGATCGGTTTACATATGCCCAGGGTGAGAGATCTGCTAAGCTATAGAAAAACTATCTCGGTGGCTCGTTTAATGATGCCAAAGACTGAGAGCCAGAATGGCGAAGAGCTCTAAACTAATTACCCCGAGGGCCTAGGGCTTTTGTGGAGCGGAGGCTGAAATGGCGTATAAGTTACTTCACCTGCGGACGACTCCGGGGCAGGTACATGATACCTCTCATGTCTCTTTTGGCCAGACAGGAAGCGCTCGCAGTGTTACCTGTTTCCAGTTACCAGTTTACCTTACCTGTTCTGCGTTGTGCCAGCCAACCTACCTACCTGTCTTTATTGCATACGTATATATGAATGAAATTGCATCGCCGCATCTCCCAGCACCAGCAGCAGCAGATGCCTTCGTCCAGATTTAGATTGCCTGAGAAGTTTTCGCAGCAAACTTGTTTACGGCCAGAAAAAAAAGATAGATACGATACCTGCTCGGCTGTTGTTTGTCCCCTTTCGGAGGCGAAGAAGATGAAAAAACACGCGATGCCATTGCATATGCTTGCTACACTCGAAGATACATTTCCAGTGCAGATACATTTCCATTTTCCCACCCACACGGCCGACTGACTGGCGAAGGCAAGAAAAACAAGCAAACTCAACGTCGTAGACATTGATTAAGGTCAGTTATGATTGTGTATTGTTTTCTCGTATCTCTACTTCGCTTCGCCTGCTTGTCTAAGCTTCAAAAAGTGAAACCTTCTCTAGCGTGTTTCGGCGTTTTTTTCGGCTGTTGTTTTTCCCCCTCATTTTTTTTTGGTAAATCGTTGCTGGGCAGCCAAGCATGAGCATACACAGAGCTCCTCAGGTACCAAGAACTCTGAGCAGATTGGGTTGAAAGTTGGAACTTTATTCGCTTGAATTATTATGTGGAAAATATCTACTCATGTTTGTGACATCTTATGGATGTCAGCCTTTTGGCAATTTAACTCAAGTGCCAGAATTTATGTTTATTGTACAAAATTTATAATGATAATAGGTGGTGAGAAAAGTCTTGTGAATAAATATATTACATTTTTATCTATAAAGGAAATGCTGAGAAAGCTAAACAAATGCTTTTGGTTTTATTTTTAGAGATTAGAATATGTACATGAGAATACGCAAAGGGTTTAGAGACTTTTGTTTAAATAGTAATCGTTTAATTAAATATTTTTTGTATGTTTAATTTTTATTCAATTAATTTAAATAGCACTCCCATTTAAGCACATTTTTCCCCGTTATTATATTTTTTTGGTTTTTGCAATTTGTAGAAATCTCCTATAAAATTAATGAATCAAAAATGCTTACTATAAATTATTGTTTTTTTTTTTTGTCTCATTAAAAAATCCGTACTTCCTTTCTGGCTTTAGCCATTCCCCACACTTCTGGCCACGCTTGACCGTCTTTGATGATCTTTTGCTTGGGTTGGCGAAAGTAGAACTCGGCCACTATGCAAAATAATTTTCTGGCTGCGGCGGCGGCGGAAGTTGGTAGGAAAAACGCTGATCGGTGTTGCATATGATCAACAATTTTGTCGATTTCTTTTTTTTGCCCCGCTTACCATAATTTTTCCACTCTTGGCTGACTCCCCCGACTTCTTCTATATAAATTTTGTTGACTTTCTCGTTTCGCATTTGGCGTATGAGCGTTTTTCCTCAGCGGTCTCTCGGTACGCAACAATTAGCCGCAGTTAATTGGCCAAAAATGCTGTTTGCTATTTGTGCTACGCTTTCTGCACTTGTGTCTGGGCCTGGCCAAGAAAATATACCGCTAATCTCGGCAGCCAAACAACTTCCGCCATGTCGGTTTGAAAACTGTTTAATTTACAGTGTAAAGTGCGCAATTAAAAATCACAGCAGCCGCAGAGAAGATGACTTTTGAGTTGTCTGCCAGCGAAAACATTTGCGTTCATAATTTGAAAAATCACCTGGCCCGACGGAGTTTCAAGTGGCCGGAGGAGTCTGAGTTGTGCTTCGGATGCTGCTACTGGTTCTGTTTAAGGTTGCCTTTGTGACCGTAATGCTGCGCCTAATTGCCCTTAATTTATTTAACTTCAAGCTGTGGCCCCCAGACTGCTTACCCTCTCCCCGCTGAGTCAAGGGTTTGCTGCGTGTCCTTTTGGGTCACTTGGGACGTGGCTCCTCTTTGGATTTGAACAAGTGTCTGGTGGGTCCTTCGGCCCGCTTTCCATTCCCATTGGAGTGAGTTGCAAACAAAATCCGGTCAAGTGCGTTAAAGGTATTTGCAATTTGTCATGATCTGCCCAACAATTAATGCGAAAATCTCCTTTGAAACAGAAACAAAAAAATTTCCAAAATGTTAAATGTTAACATCATTAATAAGTACGGTTTTTTGGTTTGTCTCTGCTAATTGAAGTTGAATTTCTTTGGTATTTTATGAGACAAAGCTGGGGAAAAGAGGGTTTAATTAAGACTTTGAACTTACAATTTAATTTATGATTTAATATTTATTGTGTAGCATTGAAATACATTGAAGTCAGATCCAAAATACAACGAAAATAATACCATTTCTCTAATTACTTGTGCACAACTATGTTTATTTTATCATTTAAATTGTAAATTTTGATTTTGAACCAAAATAATGTTAGTATTCAACACTATCTATTTTCCGCAGCCATTAAATATGTTTGAGCTCTTCATCAGCGTCTAGTTATGTCTCCATCTTGATTTATCTCTGCTTTCAGCATGGGGAAAATCGGAAAATTAGTGGGTGGCGGTCAGTAAACGCTCTAATTATTTTCAAACAGCTCGGACTTAAATGTATCTCTCTCCGTCGCTCCCACTCGGAGGCATGTTGCATTGGCCAAATCACTTTATCTTCATTTCGGGGCATTAAGCCGCTTAGTGCAGTCTCCGGCGAGAGTCTACCATCTTTCTGCTCCCCCGTATCCGCTTGGCATTTAAACAGATTTTGTCTGCTCTACTAAAGGAATTTTTAGTCCGGGGCAATTATTCAAAGCGTTCCAAATTAGGTAATTGCCCTTTAAAGAACACCGCCCACACCCACCGCCCGTTTGCATTGCATATCGCCCGGCACTGTCATCGGTCTGACCTCCGACCCCAGGCTCTGCCACGCTTGTTTGCGGCCTTGATTAATGGAGTCGTCCTGCGGCCGTCCATTGCCTGGAGCAATCCGGGAAACAACAATAACACCAAAAGGCTGAGGGAAGGGAAGCTCAGGATATGTAGGACTTGTGGACAAACAAATTTAAATAATAAATAAACAATAACAAATAAAAACTGCTAGAATA